AAGGTCTGGCTTGAAAACACCTTTGAATCTGGGGGGATTAAACTCTGCTCAGATACACAAATACTGCAAAACAGTGAGAATGGGAGGAGAGTACTGACTCCAAAGCCCGAATTCGTGCCTTGGAGAGCCTGGGTCAGACCCAGGGGGGCTGTAAGCCATCACCATCTCACTGATTGCCCCGATCGGCTCCAGTTAAAGCCCCAGTGGGGCTCTTCTGGGAGCACGCCTGAAACGTGCGTCAGACCAGTGCTGCCGGCAAAGTGCCCGCAACCGCCCATACGGTGAAGGCAATGTTTGGCCCAGGTCCCGCATCCCAGGCTGGAGCCCTTCCTGAGCCAGCTCCTGCATGGCCACAGCCCTGTACTGTGCAGGGCTGATGAAACCAGAGGATTTGGGAGCGGGGAAGCAGCAGCCCTAGCATGAGTCGCTGGCAGGGACATGGGAGAGGAGGTGCGGGGGCTGCCAGCTGCCGGGACACCCGCAGAGGTGCAAGTGATGGAAAAAGAGGAGGAGGAGGAGTTCTCCTTTCTCCCGCTCTCCTCCTCATTAAATAAAAGGGCTACCAGCAGCTGTTCTGGAAACATTTTCTCAGACTGCCAGAGTAGCAGGGACTGCTCGGAGGGACTCTGCACCGATGCTTAGTGGTGCTTTGGGAAAAGCCCTTTGGATTTCACACCAGCTGCAGCCCGGAGGCAGCGAGGGCAGCACATGGGCTGTAGGCAGAGTCCTTGCCCAGAAGCTGCTACCAATGGTTAGAGCTGTGGGGAGACACGAGGAGAGTCCCCCCATGGGCTTTCACCCAGTGAAACCCACAGCTCTGCCCTGCAGAAGGCTTTTGCAAAGAGGGAAAAGTTTCTGGCTTTCCTGGCTCCAGGCTGCACATCCAGCGCTCGGTGAAGAGTCCCATCTTGCCGGCTGGGAGAGGCCATGGGGGCTCCGTGGTGGTGGGGGAAGGCTGAGGAGGCCCCGAGCTCTCCCCACGGGCAGGGAGGTCTGTGGGGGGCAGCCAGACAGGATGGGATGACCCCACTGCCAGGTCCCCATCAGAGGTCCCTGAGCTAGGGAGCTACGTTATGTCTGGATTGCAGCACCTCCCAGGTGTTTTATCTTTGCAGTCCAGGACCAGAGATGGTCTCGGAGCAGCCCCTTGCACCTGGACAAGGGGCAGGAGGAGCAGCAGGAGCCAGGGTAGGAGCGTGCTGGAGCAGGGAGGGGGCACAGCCATGGCGGGACCTGTTGGGACGCTGGACAACACCAGGCTGCTGCCTGCTGTGGCAGCTGGGGGTACTCCAGAGAGCAAAGCAAAGCTGGGGTTCACTCCTGGTGGGATCATGCTGTGCTGATGGTTGTGGGTGTCTGTGGGAAAGTGGTGGCTTCCCCTCATCCTCACCCTTTACCAGGTCAGCTCTCAGTGTCAGGTTCCTCCTGCTAAAAGCCAGGTGTGGCTTTCAGCCATGGGTGACCCATGCCCAGGTGCCCCTGTCCCCCCTAGCCCTCCTCACTGCCCCAGACCACCAGCCAGACCCCCTGCTGACTCTTCCCCTCTCAGTACAAAATGTTTATGCTTTGCCTAAGGGATGAAGCAGCATTTCCTAAAGCAAAGTAGCTATATTTATGAGTCATGAAGCAGGTCCTTGGCAGCAGCCCCCGCCTCACCTCTCGGAGGGTGGCC